ATAGATAAAAAAGACAAAAAAAAACCTTAAAAAAAAACTCAAAGTCTCTGTAAACTTTCATTAAAACCAATTTAAAATAAAATAAAAGAGTAACCAGTCTTTCTACAAAGATGGCCCCAAAAGCGAAGAAGGAAGCCCCTGCCCCTCCCAAAACTGAAGGCAAAGCAAAGGCATTAAAGGCCAAGAAGGCAGTCCTGAAGGGCATCCACAGCCACAAAATAAAAGAAGATCCGCACGTCACCCACCTTCGGGGGCCTAAGACGCTGAGACTCTGAAGGCAGCCCAAATACCCCCAGAAGAGCGCCCCCAGGAGAAACAAGCTTGACCACTATGCCATCATCAAATTTCCCTTGACCACTGAGTCAGCCGTGAAAAAGATAGAAGATAACAACACGCTTGTGTTCATTGTGGATGTCAAGACCAAACAGTACCTAATCAAATAAGCTGTAAAGAAGCTCTATGACACTGATGTGGCCAAGGTCAACACTGTGATTAGGCCTGATGGAGAGAAGAAGGCCTATGTTCGACTAGCTCCTGACTATGATGCTTTGGATGTTGCCAACAAAATTGGCATCATCTAAACTGAGTCCAGCGGGCTAATTCTAAATACAAATTTTTCTAAAAAAAAAAGAAAAGAAAATAAGACACAAGGAAGAAGTGGAATGTGTGATGCTACCTTTTTGAGGATTATAATCAATATTGTGAAACTAAAATTAAATGTGTATTCACTGTCAAAATGAAAACTCACTTGTTCTGTAAACCTTCACTCAATTCACAATTAAAAGTTTGGGGGTGGGGGGATAAATTGTTTGATAAATCAAATCTAAGCCCAAATATGCCAGATTCCACTGCATTTCTCACAAGATCAAAGAGATGGAAGCAAATGCCTATCAACAAATGAATGGATAGAAAAACTAGGGTGTGTTTACATAGTGGAATACTACACAACACTGAAAAACAAGAAACTTGTAAAACATTACACAGCATGGGTTACTCTGGAGGACATTATGCTGAGTGAAATATCTCAGTCACAAAAGGACAAATACTGCATAACACTATAGTTATAAAGCAGGACTGACTCAGGGGGTTGGGTGGAAACTAGGGAAAGAGGGGATAGGTAATGAACAGTGCATTGGAGCAGATGAGGGAAAGAACTATTTAAAAGGAATATATGATTAGGCAGTGTATGTATGACAACAGTCCAGAATAAGAGGTACTCTGTAAAGTGGACTGGAGGAGGGAGAATCAAAGGAGAGGGAGGGAGAAAATTGTGTAAAAACGAACGAATGAAAATCCAACTTCTCTGTAAATGTCTATTAAAATCACAGTTTTAAAAATCTGCTTGTAACAATGTCCTCCTACACTTTGTAGTTGATTTTTTGGTCAAAGTCATAGGTTTTACTTCTTAGCAGCCTTTGCAATCAAATATCACAGGTCTGAGAAAGTCAGATAGCTGGAAGACCCAGCATCACGAGTTAAAGAAGTGGTCTTGTCTGATTTTGTCCCCAGAAGGGGCTTTCAGAAACACCATGAGACTTTCTGGATTCTGTTTCAGACTGAAATAGCATTTAAAAATAATAGTATTTACAAGTGGCTTCTCACCTCCACACAATGGAATACTATGCAGCACTCAGGAACAATAACTTTGAAAATTATTACCTATCTTGGGAGGGCCTGGAGAGCATTATGCTGAGTGAACTAACTCAGGCCCATAAGGATAAATATTGTATAAAACTGTTATTGTAGAATAAATATAAGGATTCAGGAGGGGTGGGAGAGAGAGGCTGGAAGCAGAGAGATGTGGATGTGCAGGAGGAAGGGGGGATTAATCATTGGGTTGTACAATTTGATGGGGGGGGCGTGAGGGAAATTGAAAGAATGTATTCAAATTTATTCTTAATTTTGTAAATAAACTAGTAGAAAAAATTAATAGTATTTATTATTATCATTTTGTAAATGCTATTCAATCAGGAAATCTTATTTCTAGAAAGAAAGCCTTTCCGATTAGCCTGACTAAGGGAAGGATCTGAAGGAAATGGGGTCTTTCCCGATTCAGGAAGGAGGAGAGGGGACCACGAGGAGAAGAACACTGCAGGTGTGGAACAACTCGACCTACTGAAGGCTGAGATATCCCAGGTCCTGACTCATACTCCCCAATAGTCGCAGCCCACTCCCCAAACCCCAAGCCCAACATCCTCAGGGAGCCCCATGCCTGAAGATCAGCTATCTTCTACTCACCTTGCTGAGGACCCCCTGCTGTTGGGCAGGTGGCAGCTCGGACAGGTGCTGCGAGAGGGCGCTTCTCAGGACCTGCAGGAGGTCCTTGCGGTCCATGCTGTACAAGGCTTGGGTACCCACGCCCGCCAGCAGCACGCCCATCTGACTGACGTCAGAGAAGGACAGCACCTGGGAGAGGACCAGCAGAGAACTGAGGCCCTGCTTTGGCTTTTTTGCTCCTTAGAGCTTTGTGGGATTTTCAGTTTTTAAATTTTTAATTCTTTTTTAAGTTCTTGGAATTCTCTTTTCTTTTTAATTTTACACTGATTTACCTACAAAGTTTGTATACATTGCCCTTCACACCAGATCCCCCCTCACCTCCTCAAGCCAACCCACCCCCACCCATCAAACCTGGACGCCCCTGATTACCCCTCCACCCATCCCCACCCCTCTGCTCCCCACCCTTAAATCCTCACACACTCTTTACTAGTCCTGTAGTTCTACAATAATGGTCTTATACAATACTACGCAGCACGCTGGAGCAATGATTTTGTAAATCACTGCCTAAGCTGGGAGGGACTTTAAAGTATTATGCTAAGTGAACTGACTCCGTCCTTAGACCTTTGTTAAGCCCAGTGTCTTCCAGGGCATTAAGGGCATGATGGTGAGCAAGATGATATCGTTCCTTGAAAACTTTATCCTGAGTGAAGCAAGTCAATCACAAAAGAACAAACAGTGTATTTCCCACACATCCTCCAAACAGAATCTTGTGTGGTGATAGTTCTCTCAAGTCCAAGATTTTTACCTCAAGATGAGATCTTGTACCTCAGTAAGCAAGAAAACCCTACAACAGATCCCACACACTGCCCAATATCTCATCATAACTACAGGGAGCTCTGGTGGCCTAGTGGCAAGAAGCTGCTCTGCAATCCTGAAGGCATGCAGTTCGAGGCCACCAGCTGCTCCATGGGAGAAGTGTTGGGAAACGTTGGAAAGGAAGGGAGGGCCTCTGGCCAGGACAGATCACCTAAGCTCCGGATAAGTACAAGCCTCCCAACGGCCTTTAATAGGGCATAGAGAAAGTTCTCCTGTGTTTAGCCGTATTAGCTTTTAAAAGCTCACCACCTAAAAAGACGGCTGCCACATCTATTGAGCTAGGAGTAGTCCACACAAGGCTGAAGTTCTATCCAATCCGCAGGTCCCATATCTGCAAGCCCACCCTATCCTGTCTTCCTGTTTTCTTGCTTATATATAAGTGTGCTGCAGCCCCCAATAAAATTGAGCTGACTCAACTCTCTAATCCTCTTCCGGAGTGGTGTATCTCCATCATGCTTACCCCCATCCAAGTGTCGCTGTTAGTTACCAATGAACAGACAGCAACAGAGAAGAATGAGCAGTCTCCTCCTGTGCAATTAACTGCCTCTGAAAACCCACCGAAGGGTCAGTTATGGGTCGGTTCCAACTCTACAGTACACAAGAACAGCTGAGGTTCTGCTCTTTACTGCATGCTGTCCCAACCTGGCTTTGTGTACTGGCCCACCCAATCCTTGCTGCAACTCTACAGGGTAGGTTCTATTGTTGTTCTGTTTTATAGACAGGAAAAGGAATAGAAGGAGATGGCAAGTCAATTTCCCAGTGACCCCTCACGACAGATGGCAAAGTAAAGATGCAAATTCAAAAACTCCTCATGACCATTCTCCCCTGATTGGGACGCCCTTTTGTGTGAGTAGAGCTGACCCCTGGGTCTCACGGTACTAAAGGGGAGTTTGTAGCTCCAACTCACCTTCTCATGCGCCAAGTATTTAGCAGACAAGATAAGGACCTGGCTCCTGGCCCAGCCTGAGACCTGGTTGAGGGTGGAGATGGCACCACGTACAGCCTCCGGGGAGAGGGATTCCAACTGGCTGTGAGTCAACCCCACGACTGCATCCGACAAAGAGCCCAGTGTCTCATTGAGGGTCTGGTTCTCCGTGGCAATGTCCAGAAGTTCAGCTTTGAGCTGAAAGGGGAATGAGCTGAGAATAAGGGTCAACAGAAACTGAGACATTTGCTCCTCCAACTACGTCTTGGGGTGTGAGAGCTCCGCAGCGCCCTCCCCCAAGCATGCCCCAGGCAAAGTTCTGGAACCAGAGACCAGAAGGCAAAGAGGACCTGTCACCACATCCAGGCACCAAACTGCCCCCGAAAACATCTTCTCTGCCTTGGCTTTCATATGCAGCAAAATACTCTGTGCTTCATTTAAATGTTAATTTGTTATTAAGGCAACTTTAACAGCATAGCAGAAGGAAATTTTGCTCACTCCGTGCATAACTCCACCACACTCTGCATTTTCATTTTGTGACCTTGAACTTTCTGTCCATACATGTGGCTGCTTCTCTTTCATGAAATATTCAGTAGGGTGTGTTTTTTCACGACAATCTGTGTAAAAACCATTCTCAACAGTACAAGAAAGTAAGTCTGCTGAAAATCCTACCTCATAGCTATGATTAGCAAGACTTTTCATGTCTGTATAAACAGATAAAATAGATGATTCCTGGCTTAGTGGTAAAACAAATGGAAGAATCATTTTCTCTTTCATATGTTTTCACTTAAGATGATGTTTTATGCATGCTTGTATGTTTGTGTGACCACTTCAATAATTATTTTATTGTAATATACCCACCTAATCAATTGTTTTCAACTGTTTCTGGATGTTGGTGTTGTTAGATGTCATGGAGTCCACTATACCTCATAGTGACCCTGTGAACAGCAGATCCGAGCCTCTCACCTTATCCTGTACTGTCCTCACCACCTCTGTATGAAAAGATGTACTGCTTTGGGGAAATCTGTCAAGGATTCCTCCCAAGTTCTAAAGAGCAAAAATGTTCATTTAAAGAATAAAGTGTGTCTGATCCAAGACGTTAATTTTCAGTTGCCTCCTATGCGTCTCTGATGGCCTAGTGGAAAGGACCTGTGCTGTCAACCCTAAGGAAGCCAGTTCAGAGCCACTAGGTACCCGCTAGGTACCCGCAGGTACCTAGTAAGTGCTTCAAGTTATCTTCACTTTCTTCAAGCAAGGTTGTGCCCTGTGCATGATGCAGGTTGATGATGCTTCTATTAGAGAGGGTGAAAAATTTGAATCTTATAACATGACTTATGCACAAAAATCAAAATCCAAGAGTGGTAGGTACATCTTTCAACCCCTGAGCTCAACATACATCAAGCCCATTGTATAGTCACCACGTTTATCCATCTCATTGAGGGTCCTCTTCTCTTTCACTAACACTCTACATTCCCTAACATGATGTCTCTCTCCAAGGACATTCCTTCTTAAAATATGCCCAAAATAAGTAAGACCCAGTTTCACCCTACTTGCTCCCAAGGATTTGCATTTCTTTCAAGACAACTTTATTCTTTTGCAAGTCTATGATATATTCAACACGACAATTCAAAGGCATACATTCTCCTTCTGTCTTCCTTACTCATTGTACAACATTAAGATACAAAGGGTGTTGTGTACTATTAAGTCGCAATCAACTCATAGGTGACCCTCTAGTGGGTTTTCAGGAATGTCAGAGATGATGAGGATGACACAGGACAAGACAAGGGTCAGATCTATTGTTCATGGGTCACCATGAGTCATGCTTGACTCAACAGCTCCTAACAGCAAATCACATGGGAGACGATAAGGCTGTATCTTTCTCCTGCGGGTACCTAGTGACTTTGAACTGCCTGCCTTTGGGTTGGCAGCACTGTTCCTTTCCACTAGGCCATCAGAGAAGCATAGGAAGCAACTGAAAATGCAATGTCTTGGATCAGGCACACTTTAGTCTTTAAATGAACATCTTTGCTCTTTAGAACTTGGGAGGAATCCTTGACAGATTTCCCCAAAGCAGTACATCTTTTGGTTTCTTGATTGCTGGTTCCAAGGGTGTTGATTGTGAAGCCAAGTAAAATAAAATCATTGGCAACTTGAATACTTTCTCCATCTGTAACAATGCTGCCTGTAGGCCCACAGGTAAAGATTTTTGCTTTCTTAATGCTGAGTGATAACTCATATCAAAGGCTGTAGTTATTGACCTTCAGCAGTAAGTGCTTCAAATCATCTTCATTTTCCTCAAGCAAGGTCGTGCCCTGTACATGATGCAGGTTGATGAGGCTTCCAGTAGAAAGGGTGATAAACTTGTCTATCATAACATGACTTCTGCACAAAAATCAAAACCCAAGAGTGGTATATCTTTCAATCCCTGAGCTCAACATGCACAAGTGTTCCATTCACTACTGAAATGATCCCAGGAAAGCGGCAGAGAGGAGAAGACATGACAGATCACCTGTCTAGTTCTCTAAATTCAATAGCTCCTCCCCTTAATCTTGATTCTCACATGCACAAAATAAAGAGTAGGTGAGAGTAATCATTCCCACAGGAGAATCTTTAGCCCAGTGGCGGCAGCAGCACGTGAAGACTTGTTCAGAATGTGAATTCTTGGGCTCTGCTCTAGCTGGACACCATAACCTGGGTTTTAACAAGCCCTGCAGGTGCTCAGGAGGGACCAGACTTAGAGAGGGACATCATGCTTGGAAGAATGGAGGGACAGCGCAGGAGAGGAAGACCCCCGCATAAGATGGATTGTCTCAGGGACTGGGATAATGGGGGCAAGTGTGTAGGAGACAGCAGTGACATGGCTCAGGGTAGGGCAGGCTTCAGAGCTGTTGTGCACAGGGTTTCTAGGAGTTGCAGGCAAATAGATGGCAAGTAACAACAACCAGATGCTCAAGAGGCTCTGAATTGGGAGCTCTGCTGGCCTAGTGGCAAGAAGCTGCATTGCATTCCCAGAGGCATGTGGTTCAAATCCACCAGATGTTCTGACGGAGAAACAGGGGCAATCTCCTCCTGTACCAGTCAGATCCAATTTGACGGTACACACACAAAATAAGAAAAGACATTTTTAAAATGAGGCTCTGAATTGAATAATTTGGGGGATCTGACCACCAGGCTTTTCCTCCTAGCCTGCCAGTCTGGATGCTCTCCTGAAACCTGGCTATCATGGGTGGTCCCGTCTATATTGGTAACCCCGGTGGCACGTCTCTCCCTTCACCACAGCACCACACAAGCCACCACTGACAGACAGGTGGCAGCAACGTTTCATTCTGTTCCACATGAAGTCACTCGAGTCAAAGCCAACTAAAAACCCGATAGCAGATCTGGTGATTCTGAGACACCCTTCCTTCCATCTCATGACCATGGGACCAAATTATGGGTTCTCATTGACTTTCTCCTAGATCAGGGCAGCCACTGTTACCCAAGGGTCTTCAACTGTATTTCTTTTCTTCTTTTTTTGCTTGAGCTTTTCTGAGAGGGTTGGTGTTTTTGGTGTTCTGTTTTGTTTTGTTTTGTTTTTTCCTTGAAAAGAAAGTGCACACAAACAACAGCAAACAGCTCTCATGTCAGTGTGAGATGTGACTGGGGACTTCACGGTTATGGGGGTGGGAGGAACTGCTGTGGTGTTATTGATGGCTTCATCACATTTTTTGTTTTCATTGTTTTTCATGTCATCTTCACAGTAAGAGAGAAATAAGAAGAAGGAACAAAAGGAAGGGAAGGGGGAAGAATTAAGACTTTGAAGAAAGGAGAGAGAAGGAAAGGAATGTAAAATACTATCTGCATTTGCTAGTTTGTCTAGAACCCTGATCTAGAACTTCATAAGCATTCTCTAAGCTCTGGTAGCCTAGTGAGTAAGGAGTTGTACTGCCAGCCCAAAAGCAAGCAGTTCAAATCCACCCGCTGTTCCTTGGGAGAAAGATGGGCAGTCTCCTCCTACTGGATGAAGTTGAAGGGTCAGTTATGAGTCTGTTCTGGCTTTGGTTTGGATTGGTTTGGTCTTGTTTTGGGGTGTTTTTTTTAATTCCACACTTAGGACCCTCGTGGCACAGTCATCACAGTGCTTGGCTGCTAATCAAGAGGTTTGAATATCTCAGCGGCCCCACAGAAGAGAGATATGGCCGTCTTCTTCCATGAAGACTTAGGAGCCCTAAAGGGTAGTTCCACTCCATCCTCTAGGGTCACCTCAGCTTGGAGTTAGCAATCCAGTGTTCTCTGGCTGTACGGGAGAGCTTTTAAAACACACCACACTATTAGGAATATACCCCAAGGAAATTAGAACTGAGACACAAATGGACATTTGTTCACCAATGATCATAGCAGCATTATTCACCATCACAAGAACATAGAAACAGCACAAATTGAGAAAATATGGTACATTCACACAATGGAATTCACACTATGTAACACACCAGAGCAACAATTTCAAAAAATACTACCTAACTTGGGAGAAACTGGATTGCATTATGCTGAGTGAACTAACTCAGTCGCTTAAGGACAAATACTGAACAAAACCATTATTGTAAAAATAGAAGGATAACCAGTACAATAGGTATGAGGACCCAAGTCAGAAAGGGGTTGGGAACATAGGGTTGAGGATGGGTAGGGATGAAATCACAGAGTTGCTCAATTTGGTGTGTGTAAAGGAAATGGGAAAGATCTGGTGGGGACCTGGAAAGACAGGATAGTGGTGGGCAAGGTCCAATGGTGATTAATTTTATAAAACATAATGAAATGGAATGATTGTATAAAACACAAAGTGAATGAAGAATAGTTAAAAAAAAGAATAAAATAATCTGTTTTGGATTGGGCGGGGGGACCCAAACATGCCACACTCAGATCATCAAACACTCATTTCATAACCCTACATGTGTAAAAGTAGAATTGAACTCCAAAGGAATTTCAACGGCTAATTACAATGTCAGGAACTGACGTTACTGAAGGTCCCTGAAGGAGCCTGGGTGAGGCTGTTGAGTTACATCCAATAAAACCTTCCAAGTCTGAACTTGTGCAAGGCTAAAATCTACAAGAAGAAGAAGTATTAACACTTTCCACTAAAGAGAGTGCAGTAGAGAGGTGAATGGAGCTTGTCCACAGCGGAAAACCACCTGGAAAACAAGGCCATGCCGCGCAGTTCCGGCTTTCACAGGGTTAAGACCCACTCACTCCTTCACCTCCTTATCATTCAAAGTATGATCGCTGTCCAGCAGCGCACCACCACGTGGAGGTTTGTGGAAGTGCAGCGTCTGGAGCAGCCCCAAAACTGCCAATCAGCATCTGATCTCATCTGATCCCAGGAGATGGATCCTAAGGCTGTTTCTATGTGATCCTAAGGTGATCCTATGTTTTGTTCCGGTTGAATTTTCTACTGGTGCACATTTCCCCCTCTGTTGGTGTTCTTTTGGGGGGGGGTTCCCTCTTGATGTGTTTTTGTTTGTTGTCATTTATATTTGAACTACTGCCTGCTATCACACTTTGAGATATTTTCATTGTTTGTGGCTGTTGAGTCAACTCTAACTCGTAGCAACCTTATGTACAAAACCTTGATCGATCGTGGACCACTCTCAGCATCTCTGCTGTTTTTAAGCCCATTGTTGCAATCACGGTGTCCACCTGTCTCTCTCCATTGCTCACCCTCTAACTTTCCAGACATAACGTCCTTTTCTAAGGACGGCCCCTCCTGGGTCTCCAGACCCAAAGTATGTGACATGGAGCCTCACCATCCCGAGATCGGACTAACCCTACGCACGTTCTCTTAAAGACCCAGGCGATGCTATTGTTCCCATTTCTCTGGCTAGTGGAAGCAAGGCTGAGGCCCCAGGATAGTGCAGCCCACACCCACCTTCTGAACACTGGCCTGGAAGCCCCTCAGGCGACTGCATTTGATCATCTGGTGAAGAAGGACTTGGGCCCCAGCAGCATCCAGAAATTCCAGGTCATTGTAGAAGCAGACCAGCAGCCCCAGCCTGTGTGAGAAGACAAGAGATGCTGGCGGAGGGCTGGGAGTTTGAGGTCACAGTCGTTTTGACCTCCTAAGGCTGAGTCTGCGAGGTGTGCTACCATTTGTTGAGCTGTCCTCCCAGATGAAGGAGCTCTAGTGGCATAGTGTATGACACATTGGGCACACCAACTGGAAGCTGGCATCATTCACGATAGTAAGATAATGAAAGCAGCTCAAATGGCCATCAACAAACAAATGGATAGGGAAATTGTGGTACCTTGACACAGTGGAATACTATGCAGCACTAAGAAGCAATGGATGTGTATATACTACACAACACAGGAGAGTCTGGAGGACAGAGTGCTGAGTGAAATAATTCAGTCACAAAAGGACAAATACTTCCTAAGACTATTACGGTGCAAATAAGACATAACTGAGGGGTGAGAGGGGATCAAGAGAGCAGAAATAGAATGCACAGCAGAAGAACACAGTAAGGGATCAGGACAAGGGAGGGGCAACCTGGGAAGGATTGAAGACAGGTCACTGTGGCTACTGCAATTAGCAAACGGGATCAGGATGTGTATAACCGCTCTGTTTGAATCTACCAATTGTTCTACAGGAGATAGATAGGCAGCCTCCTCCATCAAAGGCTTTAGGTTATGGAAATGTATGGGGTTAAGGGGAGGTTGCTATGAGTCAAAATCGACTCAAAAGCAATGGGTTTGGTTTCTGGATGAGTAACCTAGGTTATCCCATCAAAATGACCCCATGAGTTAGGGGGTTTCAATATAAGCTTTGCACAGAAGTGTCAACTAAGACCCAGAAATGCCAAGCAGTCAGTCAACTTGTCCAAAGTCAGTCACAGAGCTGAGACTAAAATATAGATTCATCAAATGACTTATCTGTCCACCTGAGACAACAAAGGTCAGAAGGGAGCTAGCCACAGAAAACACCCTGTTTTCCACATTTGAATGACTATTTCTCACCCTAAGAGAGTCTCTGAACAGATTTAGTTCCAGAAATCTTATACTATTTAGCCCCTCTAGGTGATGAGGAAAAGACCTCAGAAGGAAGTAAAATAAGAGACAGGACATAGAACCGTGGAGAAGCAGGGTTAGGATTCAGCACTGGAAGTAAGGTGACTGGTGTTGAAGAGTGCAGATTTAGCGCTGGTGGCCAAGTGGCAGGAAGCTGTGCTGTAATTCCAAGGGCACATGGTTCAAATCTACCAGTTGCTCCATGGGAGAAGAATGTGCAATCTCCTCTCATGCAATTTACTGCCTCTGAAAATATGCTGGGGGATCAGCTACGGGTTGGTTCAGACTCAAAGGCATACAACAAAAACAACGGATTATAAAGTCCAGTTGCATGGCATGTCTGACCTCCAGCAGGTTGTTTGACTTCTCTGCAAAGCCATTACATAGAGCTGTGCGATGCACATTCTATGCTACTGTACAGAGTGAACTGCCTGGGCTTTACTTTTTTTAACATTGTGTTGTTGTTGTATGCCATCAAGTCAGATGGCCATTTTTCATCATAATATACCATAATAACGGAAGGAAGGGAAGGAGGGAGGGAGGGAGGAAAATTAAGAAGAGGTATACAAACTCATCAGTATAATGTCTAGTATATACTAAATATTGCTGGAGGTTCTGAGAGTTAACATGAACTTGAACAGCACTTGGACTACGTGGTTGAGTGGACCACCTGGCTCTATCCTCTCAGGAAGACACTGGCTCTCATATATCCACAAGAGAGCAACAAAGTCAGGAAAAGAATTTGCATGTGTGTCTGCTAAGAAAAAGGAACATGTCTAACCCTGAGAAAATTCAGGGAAGTGAAAACGGAATTACTGCATGAACAGCAAGTAATAATAGTCCTTGAGCACTTACTATGTGTCAGGCCTTTAATGAGAGAGCAAAATTATTCCGTCTCACTTTATAGTGGGGGAGACAGAGGCACAAGATCATGCAGAGTAAGGATTAAGCTCAGGGGAAAATGTCTCTAAATCAACATTCTTACCACCTGGCTATTTTGTGTGTGTACTTCCAAAATGGCTTGCCTCCGAAAACTCTATGTACGAACAGTGCTCAGGCTGTTCGTTCATAGGGTCGCTATGAGTTGTCTACGACTCAATGGCACCAAACAACAACAACATGTGTAATGATGGAAAAACATGACCAATGTGAATAGATGAGAATTGCAAGAGATGGGGAAAGGAGATGTACTAGTTTCACATGAGTGCATTCCCTAACAGTGGCCCATTATGATGATTTAAGGTAGATGATGAAGTCAATGGATCACTGTGACTTTAGGTTGATATCTCATAGCTGACCACCCACTGAATTTCTGAGGCTGGAATTAACATGGCATGAGTTTGATTATCTTTTCTCCCAGCAAGTTGCTGGTAGACTCAAACTGCCAGAGAGGTGAAGCCTTGGGTTAAGTCACACATCTCCCTGGAATACAAGAGTTGGAAAAGGGATGGTGGAACAGTGCCCTTACGACCCCTCCCCACCACAGGCCCCTGACACCAAATCCCTGCTCACTATCCACAGAGCTAATCTCCTCCTGGGATCATCGGGCCATAGCTGCTGGACCTTCCTTGTTGGGGGTGGCCCTTGGAGATCATATAACAATCTCTAAATTCTAGAGGTGATCTCATCCATGGGTTCCCATTTGAGGGTTTGATCTCATCTTGAGCTTCCCTGTCTGCATTCACATATATGGAGACCATAAGCTATTTGATATCAGAGAATGGGAGTGCTGCTCTAAAAATAAAAAAATAAATAATTTTTTAATTATACACACACACACATACATATGGCTGTGATATTAGAATTGAGGAATAGGTAGAGGCAGAGAAATATGATGCAGTTGAAATTAAGAGCCAGGATCGCCTTGAAAAGGCTGTTGGTGGAAATGTGGAGACTTGACTCAACATAATGAAAATAGACATTCACCCTGGACAGTGCATTTGTGTTAATGGAAGAGGAACAATACGAGACTACTTCCAAGAAAGATGTGATCCTCACTCAAGCAGAGAAACAACTTAGAACAGAGGAGTGAAAACGGTTGCACATCTTCAAGAATATAATCAGTGTCACTGAATTGTACATCTGTCATTAAAGTTAACTCCACTGAAATGCACAACTTGAAGAATGAACAGTGTCACTTGAAGACTGTGCATATAGAAGTTGAATTGGTATGTGTGTTCTGTTGTACGTATTTTCTAAAGCAATACAAACTACTTTTTATATCTCTCTCTCTCTCTCTGGAAAATTGTGAGTGCAGTCCCCCACTACCACAAATTATGCAGTAGCATTTCCCACATGTGGGGAAATCACAGGCGTCGGCCCAACATCCAGAGTGCGATGGATAAGCCTCATCCTGGGAAAGCCACCTTTGAGATCATAGTATCTCCCCTGCCAGGTAAGTATAATAAATAAACTATTTTTAAGTAAGATAAACATTTCTTTAAAATCTACTTACTCTAGAATAGAGCCAATATTGGGTGTTTAGAAATGTTTCATGCCCATGTTTGGGGCTCATGAAAGGGTGGTATAAAATGTCTGGCAGAGAAGAGACACTGTGACTGTCTTGGTTTCCTCCCTGACTTCATAATCCGTTTAAAGGACAATGCCTCCTTGAGGGGACATCTCCTCACATTTGCACAGAGAGATGTGGGAATGTCCCAGGAGAATGAGCCAGTCACCTCTCTTCCTTCCTGGGTTTTTCTGCAGTTAAGAAGAAGGTGGTGCTTGGATCTCCTCCCAGTGAATAACTCAGGGGCCCAGAACCCCCAAGCTTGCCTGTGGATGGTTGAGGTATTCCTCATGTCAAAGGTGGAGGATGTGATTCTCTCCAGAAACGCCTGGGCCACCTGGGGTGTGATGTCATAAACGGTGTCCAACTGCTTGGTGGCGTTGTCGTAGCTAATGAACAGTCCGATCTGGTGGGCAAGAAGGAGACGAGTGAGGAGGACAAGCACAGCCCAGTGCAGCCGCCCTACTTCTGCACACAGTGGCCTGCACTGCACGCAATCCAGGTACTCAGACCATGCTGGTGCTCATCGCCCTTGATTGCTTGCTGGTCTGTCACTGCTATTTGGGTGACCTCTTCAACCTCATCGCTTTTGGGAAAGTTGGGGTCTTGGGTTTTTCCTTTCTTTCAATCCAAGCAGTTGAACTTTTTAAAGCTAACATTCGCACACTTAATTTCTAAATGTGTTACAGTGAGGTCAGAATTTGTGCTCCACAAAATTTCTGCTTTAGAGACTCAGATTGCACTCAGAAGATGAACACATTTATGAATGTCTATCAGGTCATAGAAAGGAACCTATATTCTCTTTATAAGATGCAAAGCATTAAATCGATCTATGTGCGTAGACATATATTACTGTTGTTAGGTGCCACCAAGTTGAGTATGACCCATAGCAACTCTATGAACAACGTATCTGATCCCTGCCCTGTCCTGTGTCATTCTCACCATCTCTGATCTGTCCAAGCTCATTGCTACAGTCACTGTATCAATTCATCAAGTTGAAGGTCTTCCGCTCTTAATCTTCCCCTCCACCCACCATGATGTCTTTTTCCAAGAACTGATGTCCCCTGACAACATATGCATGCCCAAAGTATGCAAGATATATCAATAGATAGAGATAGAGAGATAGAGATAGAGAAGATATAGATGAGATAGACGAGATAGAGACAGAAACAGAGATAGAGATGGAGAGATGAGAGAGATAGAGATCTACAGCTATAGATATATATGATATAGAGATAGAGATATATAGATTGTTGTTGTTGTTGTTGTTGTTGTTCTGTGCCGTGAGTTGCCTGTGACTCATAGTGATCGTATGTACAACAGCCCTAAACCCTGCTCTGTCCTGTGCCAATATCATTGTGTACAACACACCCACCCCCGTTACCCCAGTAACTAAATCAATTCATCTCATCGAGGGTCTTCCCCTCCTGTGCTGTCCCTTCACCCTACTAAGCATGACATCCGTCTCCAAGGACTGGTTCCTCCTTGCAACATGTCCAATGTATGTCAGGCAAAGTTTCGGAATCCTTCCTTCAAGGAGCAACCTAGTTTCACCCTTTCTAGGACAAACCTGTTCGTTCTCTTAGCAGTCCATCATATATTCAATACTCTTCAATACCACAGCTCAAAGGCCTCAAGTCTCCTTCTATCCTCCCTAGTCGTTGTCCAGTTCTCTGATGCACAGCAAGTGATTTGCGAAGACTATGGTCTGTGTCAGGTGCACCTTAGTCTCCAGACTGACATTGTTGCACTTCAGTACTTTGGAGAGGTCTCTGACCGCAAACTTTCCCATCGCAATACATCTTTTCATTTCCTGCCAGCAGTGCCAAGAGTGTTGTTTTTGGAGTCAAACAAACTAAATCTGTTTACAATTTCAATCTCTTCACCATCTATGCTGTCAATTGGCCCATTGGTGAAAATCTTTGTTTTCTTAATATTGATCTTCAGTCCATATTGAAGGCTGCAGTCCTTTACTTTCTGCAGCAAGCGCTTCAAGTCCTCCTCAGTTTCAGCAAGCAGGGTTGTATCATCTGTATAATGCAGATTGTTGATTAATCTTCTCCAATCCTGATGCCACACTTCTCCTCATAGAGCCCAGCCTCCAAGATAATCTGTTCTTCATATAGATTGAAAAGGTATGGAGATAGGACACATCCCTGGTGTACACCCTTCCCAATTTTGAATCATGCATTGTTTCCTTGCTCTGTTCTGATGACTGCCTCCTGGTCTCATTAGCACAATCAAGTGTTCTGGGATTTCCATTCTTCTCAGAGTCAGCCACAGTTTGTTGTGATCCACACAGTAAAATGCCTTTGCATAGTCAATGAAACACAGATAGACATTCCTCTGGTATTCCCTGCTTTCAGCCAAGATCCATATAACATTAATATAATATCCATAGTACCACTACCTCTTCTAAACCCAGTGTGCACTTCTATCTCAACTTTATTAAATATATTCTTTGGACTTTATATGTTGCCTTCTCCAATATTGCAGACAATTCTTTATATAGTCTACTATTACATTCTCTATATTCTCTGTTACAATAGGATTCAGGTCTCTTTTTCTGTGTACATCTGACAGATTTTTGTATTGTATAGGACCTGATGCACTTGCTGCAAAGAGTCAAGGACTGCAGCCTTCCATATGGATTGAGGCTCAATGTCACGAAGACAAAGATTCTCACCACTGGACCGATTGGCAGCATCAGGATGGATGGTGAAGAGATTGAGATTGTACACAGCTTTAGTTTGCTCGGCTCCACAGTCAACAGTCTTGGCACCAGCATCCAGGAAATTAGAAGACGTATTGCAATGGGAAAGTCTGCTGTTAGGGGCCTCTCCAGGGTACTGAAGAGCAATGGTGTCACTCTGAAGACTAAGGTGTGTCTGATACAGGCTATGGGTTTTGCAATCACTTGTTATACATCGGAGAGTTGGACAATGACTAGGGAGGATAGAAGGAGAATTGATGCCTTTGAGCTGTGGTGCTGGAGAAGAGTATCGAATATAGCATGGACTGCCAAGAAAATAGATTCATCCTGTTGTTGTTGTTGTTATGTGCCGTTGAGTCGCCTGCAACTCATAGCAACCCTGTGTACAACAGCCCTAAACTCCGCTCTGTCCTGTGCCAATCACACTGTCTCTGACACTCCCATCCCAATTATCCCAGTCACTGAATCAATCCACCTCATAGAGGGCCTTCCTCTCCTGCGCTGTCCCTCCACCCTCCCAAGCATGATGTCCGTCTCTAAGGACCGGTCTCTCCTCACAACATGTCCAAAGTATGTTAGACGGAGCCTCAGAATCCTTGCCTCCAAGGAGCCACCCGGTTTAACCCTTTCCAGGACAAATCTGTTTGTTTTCCTAGCAGTCCATGGTATTCTCAATACTCTTCTCCAGCACCACAGCTTAAAGGCATCAATTCTCCTTCTATCCCCCTTGGTCATTGTCCAACTCTCTGACTCATAACAGGTGATTGCAAAAACCATGGCCTGTATCAGAGCAAGGGAACACTGCATGGTTCAAAATTGGGAAGGGCGTACGCCAGGGATGCGTCCTATCTCCATACCTTTTCAACCTATATGCAGAACAGATTATCCAGGAGGCTGGGCTCTATGAGGAGAAATGTGGGGTCAAGATTGGTGGACGATTTATCAACAATCTGCGTTATGCAGATGACACAACCCTGCTTGCTGAAACTGAGGAGGACCTGAAGCGCCTGCTGCAGAGTGTCAAGGACTGCAGCCTACAATATGGATTGAGGCTCAATGTCAAGAAGACAAAGATTCTCACCACTGGACCAATTGGCAGCATCAGGATGGATGGTGACGAGATTGAGATTGTACACAGCTTTAGTTTGCTTGGCTCCATAGTCAACAGTCTTGGCACCAGCAGCCAGGAAATTAAAAGGCGCATTGCCATGGGAAAGATTCATCCTAGAGAGGGTTAAAACAGGTTGCTCCTTGGAGGCAAGGATTCTGGGGCTTCATCTGGCATACTTTGGACATGTTATAAGGAGGGACAGGTCCTTGGAGAGGGACATCGTGCTTGGGAGGATGGAGGGACGGCACAAGAGGGGAAGACCCTCTATGAGGTGGATTAATTCAGTGACTGGGGTAATCGGGATGGGTGTGTCAGAGGTAGTGCGATTGGTACAGGATAGAGCAGGGTTTAGGGCTGTTGTACATAGGGTCACTATGAGTCGCAAGCAACTCGACGGCACATAACAACAACAACATACATTGCTGCACTGTAATTCTGTGTTTACAGAACTTGCTTTTCTTGAACTTGTCTCTCTATAGATCATACACCTAGTGTTGGTGCTTTGTGACTTCACCTCCCTCATTTACATTTTTGGCTGAGAATGAAGAGTTGCAAATTGTCTCATGCAATTTCCACTTAGGGGCTCCTCTTTCTATGCATATATCTCCATCTACTTCCTAAACTTAACTCAGTATTGAGATAGTCAAGTAGGAATTTACTCTTAGAACTGAGAGGTTTTAAAATGTGGAGGACATTTTGAATGATACAAGTCTCCTACATAAAAGAGAGAATGCTACATCACGCAGTGGTTTCATAAGAACCAGACATTGTTTCACCAACTTGTTCCTTGAAGGAGTCAATCATTTAATATAAATCCTTTTCTTAACTGGCCAGGAGAAAATTGAGATGCACACGAATAAAAAGTCAAAGGCAAGGGCCCAAACTCTTTGTGAACACTTCCAAGGTGGTAGCAATCATTGAAGGCTGCATTACAAAATCACAATGTTTAAGGGATTTTAGTGCCATTGACTCAAGAAGAGTACAAGAGGAGAGACATTTGTGATCCCTGAGCTAAGTAACTTCTTCACTCCCTCACACACCCATGGCCATCAAGTCAGAACTATATCATAGCTGACCCTTCAACGTGTTTCCACAGGCTCTGAACCACACAAGAGAAAATTTCCCATCTTTCTCCCTCAGAGCAGCTGGTGGATTTGAACCTCCTGTCTTTGGGTTGACAGCACTACTCTTTACCCACTACTCTTTACCCACTCTTTTTGTTCCTTAGAATATATCTACTTCTCCATTGTAAACTCTAGAGTTGAACTCCAACCATTGCACCCGTTAAAGTAACTATCAATAGAAGTAGCTATTCTTTTGAATCATTTTTGCTTTGAGTTCTTGCTTCCATGGACTAGAAACTCTGTAGCTATTGTCTTTGGCCTTTCTTGGGAACAAAAATGCCCTTAAATGCTTTCTGTTGCCTAGCCAACATTCCCTTTATGTTGTGTTTGCTCCCATCAGAACTGAGTCACCCATAATTGTTTTTCTTTTCTTAGCTCTTGGTAGCAGCCCGTAGGGCTATGACTGACCTCCTCAAGGCTTTGTTCCAACAAAGACATATTTAGCTAAAGCAGTCACATGATTTCCAGGGCACCGTGACTGAGTGGCTGAACATTTATAAGTTACACTATTAGTGAATGGAGATGGATCAATGTATTTCCCCAACTTACTTCTGTAGCACTAATTTTCATAATTTCTTCAAGTGGCAGGTGAACCATATATCTGCCCAATATCCATAAGTTTTCTGCGCTGACCCATGAAGCAGAGTCACCTACAAAAATAAACAGTATATTTTTAAAGCTTTTACACTGGCACATGTCAGTGTAAAAAGCCAACGTATCATTGATGTTGGGATTTCTCTCCTGTATTCACTAAGTCACTCAACAATCATCTCTTGAGAGACACTATGTTACGCATAGGCAGCCCTGGACACCCAACTCTTGGACCTGTAAAATCAACATCACCTAGGAATTTGTTTAGAAATACAGATTCATTTTTAAGTTTGGGAACCACATAAAATAATTTGGGTTTTGGTTCAATTTGTTCCTCAGTAATAATCTGGAAGCCTATCTCAGTCTATTTTATTACCATCAATAATAATCATTATCATCCTTATTAATTTTCACTAGGCCAGTCCTTGGGAAAATGCATCATGCTGGGAAAGGTAAACAGTCAAAGAAAGAGAGGAAGACCCTCGACAAGGTGGATTGAGACGGCAGCTGTAACAGTGGACTGAGAAAGGTGGAGATCACGAGGATAGTACAATAGAGAACAGGGCAAGATCAGATCTGCTGTTCATAGGGTCACTGTGAGTCTGACCCACTCAAGGGCACATAGCAACAACTATGCTTGGGCCAGAATTAACTAGGTATAACTTCTCCTACGCACCTCCAAATGTTCGCTTCTCCACATCTGACAAGGAGGCAGGGGTAGATTTGACTACACAGACCACAGAGAAGAAGACAATGCAACCACAGAGGCAGAGAATGGCGCTGGTGCAGCCGCGAGCCAAGAGATGCCAGCAGCCACCAGAGCTTGTACTGAACATCTGTGAAAGTCTGTAGTCTTAGCCTAATTATGCTTTGAATGTTAAGAAAGTTAGCAATAAATGCTGTGTCTTATTGCTCAGGTTTGCTAATAAAATTTTCTTGTCTCATCTTAACTTATAGGAAGCTCTGGTGACCTAGAGGTCAAAAGCTGCACTGCAATCCTAAGGGTACACAATTTGAATCCATGAACTGCTTTGTGGAAAAAAAGATGGGCAATCTACTCCCATGCCATTTATTGCCTCTGAAAACCACTGGAGGGTCAGTTATATATATGTCAGTTCTGACTCAGTGGCACACAACAATGACCACCACATCTTAACTTATGGAGAGGTGTACTTAACTTACGGGGAGGTGTACTTATAGCCTTATTCTAAAGGTGCTCCTCCAACCTAAGATGCCACCATCCTCAACATTCTATTGAGAAACCAGAACACAACCGAAGATTGTAAAACACAGATACAATCCCCATTTTGGAGACATCAACATGTAAAAATTGGGCTGTAGGTTTATTCCATAAGCTACCTCTACTCTTTTGGAATGGTTGCGATTTTTGTTGTTGTTGTTAAGTGCTGTTGAGTCGACAACGACTCATAGCAACCCCATGAAGAGCAGATCTTTTAACAGGACTTTGCCCTCTCCTGCGTTATCCTCACAGTCTCCAACATGTTCAAGCCCCTTGTTTCAGTCAGTGCATCAGTTCATCTCATTAAATTTCTTTACCTTTTTCTCTGGCCCATACCTTTCCCAGGAAGCTTTGGTGGTTTAGAAGGAAGGAGTTGCACTGCTAACCCAAAAGTATGTGGTTTGGATCCGCCCCCTGCTTCACATGATGCATTCATAGTCTCTGAAACTCCACTGAAAGGTCTGCTGTGAGTCAATTCAGACCTAACAACACCACAACCTTTCCCACCATAAAGTCTCTTTTTCCAAGGACCTGCCTCTCCAGACAACATGTCCAAGGTATGTGAGATAAGATAGGGCTGATAATCATACCAGAAAAAGGAGAATAAATTCCTGTTTTCAGAATGAGGAGTCCCTTTTGAGGATAGGGTTCCCCAATGAATAACCCCACCCTGTTGGAGGGGCTCACCAGTGCTGTTAGAAGATGCTCGCAAAATCTCAGTCATCCAGGAGTATAGAGCTCGCTGGGAATGGGCCGAGGTCTGGTCATAGAGATCTTTGAATACTGCAGAGCTGGATAACACAAACACAGGCGTCAATGAAGAAAGAAGCAGATGGGTCCAGCTTAAAGATCAAGGAGGGGTCAAGACAGCCAGTGCACCTCCGCCACACTGCTATCTGGAGCAGTACTCCTGTTTAAATAGAGAATACATTCCAAAGAGTGGCCCCTACATATTATCTCCACTTCCTCACCTCTTTTTCATTCTTTAAATCACTGTGTTGCAGATTCCCCATTCCCATCCCACTCCTGATGCTCCAAGTCACCCATAGACTCCTTGTTGCCACACCCAGAGCTCTCGTTTGGTCCAAATATTTAATCTTTCAGTAGTATTGGCTCTGATGCCTCCCTGGCTCACCCTTCAAAACTCAATGATAACAGTGCATCTAAATTCCAAAATCAATCTCCACAATAGTCTACATGTTTCCTATTGCCAAAGGGGCCCTTTAGAGTAGTGAGAGAAGAACTTCACCCTGAAACCTACAGTGTCCCTTTTCAGCAGGAAGTAGCTAAGAGAAT